GTATGGATGCAATTCTGTATGTTGCCAGGCTGCAGCAATATATGTTAATGTGCAACCATCCGTGCCTGAAAACTTGTAACTTTTTGTCTCTTAATTTATTGCTATTGTGGGATATTATTTGACTTGTAAGATCACATTTACAGGATGGTTTGCTAGGGATCCAAGTGTCCTGCGTCGTGTTGGACACGTGCTGCTGCAACTTCCTTATGCAGTTTCACGAAGTCCAAGACAAATTGTAATAGCTGATGATTGCTTTCAAGAAGTAAAGATTCCCATTGATAGGATTGTTCAAGTGGTTATCAAATCCACTGAGAAGCTTTTTGGAAGTATGTTCTTTTCCTTTGATTTAGAGATCCATTCTTTGGCTCTTGTCCATGGTGGACTGCTGTTTTTGAAAATTTTCTGATTGAGTTCTCGATAAACTGGTCCAGAACAAGTGTTGAAACATGAAAATCTTAGGGACTATTTCAATTCAAAAATTCCAAGCTTGAAAGAGTTTCATGGCCAGAAGACAAATGGTGAAGTAAAGACTTCATCCCTCAAATTGCTTGCCAATGTTGTGCAGTTTCTTCAAAGGTGAGCTGATTTATCAGTAGTCAGTCTTCTGTATATGTCATAATTTTGAGACCAAATGTTCCTGTCCTTGTACTTCTATTCCAATTATCTTTAATGTATTCTTATGGTTGCATTGGAAGGGCGAAGCTAAAACTCATGAAAGATTGTAAAAATTTAAAAATATTAATTTTCAACCTGAGAATTGGTAAAATATGCTGTCATAAGGAGGCAGTTTTTCACTTTGTTTATCCATTTGTCTTTGATTTCGAAAATTTTCCTGGATCATATAGTATTGGAGCTTTATTGTGTTTCTTGTTACAGGCATGAGTTCAGACATAATCATGGGGAGTGGATTGATTCGGTGAAGCCTGTTTTGGAGTCTGCTACTTCAATGCAAATATGTGGGCCACTGGAGGCATCCGATGAGGAGATTGAGATATGCAAGTCAATTAGGAATGAATTACAGGCAGCTGTCAGCTCTCTATTGAAGGTAGCCATTTTGATTATTAATTTATTAATTGTTAATATTTTACGATTTCAATACATTTCACACATACATGCACACTTTCAAGCACACATACGTACAGATTGTCTTACTAATTACAAAGCCAAATTAGCTTGACTGGACTGGACTGGACATGGTATAATATGAATTATACTTCCTTTTGTAATTATCTATAATGTGTTTATCGAGGTTTGTTATATGAATTACGATTTCTCTTTTATTTGCTTGTGTAGGATGATGGAATTTTGGTTATCCCAACTATAGCTGACCCCCCTTCGAAACTTGGTGGGAAGGAGATGCTCTCTGAGGACTTCCGCAGTCGTGCTTTTGGTCTCTTAAGTATTGCGAGCCTGTCAGGTTGTTGTCAGGTGAAAATCCATCAATCACTCTCTCTGTCTTCGATCTTTAATATCTTTGTGTATCATTATGTATTCATTACATATACATAGTGATAAGTTTGTACTGATTTTAGTTTCTCCTAATCTTCTGTACTCCGTGGATGTCTCCTCTTCAGGTCACAGTACCTCTGGGTTTTCATGACAAGTGTCCTGTTTCAGTTTCTTTCATAGCCAAGCATGGGGGTGATCGCTTTTTACTGGATGCACTGCACACTATGTACACATCTTTACAGGAGCAGGCTGATATTGCTTCAAAATCCAAATCATCCAAAAATGCTCTCACCAAGGAACAGTCTGCTGAAATTGCCAAGGAAAAGGTAGGTCATCGCTTTCGTGATCATCGTCCATTTTGCTTTTCAAGTTGTTGCTATCTTTGTTGATTTGCTTTGTAACATAGGACATCATGTTATCAAATTTCTGTTGGAATTTACATAATATTATTTAAGCTCTGTTCCGTCGACTTATTATCTCTTATTCTGCATGGAAAAGTCAAGGTACCTCTAGGATCGTCAGTCCCGATGATCAAAAGTCATTGTTGAATGGTGAATTGACATGAATAATATTTCTACCAAGTCTTATTTGCATAACGACTATTCAAGCTCGTTTCCGAATTGCATTTGCATATCCTAAAGCCTCTTCTGTTATCCTTACAAAATAATTAGGGAAATCGAGCATACAAAGATAAGGACTGGCAGAAGGCTATTGGCTTTTATTCTGAAGCTATCAAACTTAGTGGCAACAATGCAACGTATTACAGTAACAGGGCTCAAGCATATCTTGAAGTTGAAAGGTACCGCTATCTGTTGGTACATTTATTCTCTCAGTTGATATCTTGGGGTAGGTCTCTAATTTACTTCTTCCGTCTAGATTCATTCAAGCCGAGGCAGATTGTACTAAAGCTATCAACCTTGACAAAAAGGTAACTCCTCTCCAAAAGTATTAATCATTGGATATTCCCAATTATCGGTTGAATGCTATAGGCCCTATGGTGCTCCTTGTGTTCTTCGAGTGCAGATTATTGATTGCGTTTTTATACCCATTGTTGCCTACTTATGTTTCTTCAGAATGTGAAAGCTTATTTCCGAAGAGGCACTGCAAGGGAGATGCTTGGTTATTACAAGGAGGCGATTGAAGGTCAGATTTGTTTGTTTTTTTATTTTTTATTCTTTGTTCTGACTGACGGACTTGGGAGCAACCTCTCCATAAATGGGGGTAAGGCTAGCCGACATTCACCTCTCCCAGACCCTGCGTAAAGCGGGAGCCTTGTGCACTGGGTACGATTTTTTTTTTTTTGTTCTGACCGACGGACTGTGTTGCCCCCATGATCTACCCTTAAGCTAGAAACCTAGTGTGAAAGTCTAAGGAAAACAGTGTTTATCGGGTGCAAATTAGATATTTGAAATTTGAGATTGGATTTGCAACTTCCTTGCCAAATTCACTCAACGGACGAGTAGCTTCTACTGGTTGCAGATGTGAATTGTTTTGGTATTCTATTTCAGAGCGTGGAATACACTCGTGTTATTTATGCACATCTGTGTGTTTTTAATTCATTCATTCCAATCTCCTAAAATAACTCCGGTTCAATGGCGCTTCATTCTGCAGACTTTAGACATGCACTTGTTCTTGAGCCAACCAACAAACGAGCAGCCGCTGCTGCTGACAGTTTGAGGAAGCTGTTCCAGTAGCTTATTGAAGCTCGCTCGGCCAGGTAAAATCCATTTAAACTAGACGGTCGACAATTCCCATATGTCTAAACCAATCGAATGAGAAGAGGGATGACGAGACTCGAGAGAAGTTGAGAATCTTTACTCTTATGATCACGGTGTTTTTTTTTGTGGGGGGGGGGCTAGATTATTGTTTGATCAGATCAGTTTATAGGTTATTGTCGCCAAAATTTGTAACTATATGCCAATTTTGTTGCTTTTAGATGAGGTTTAAAGGCGATCATGAGCACAGCCATTACAATATTTATCTTTGCCTTTGCATTGTAATTTTCGCATACGTTGTTGTACTTTGATTGGTTTCACTCGATGCAGTAAACGTAAATAATGTCATTCGATATGCTCGGCTACGAGTAGATGTGAAAAGTTCAGCCAAAATACAAACTATTGGATCGATTAAGAGGGAAAGAACCCGTTTACCAGTAAACCCTAACGAATCGTTTTTCGCCCTAGTCAAATTCGAAAAGATCCAGCTCTTCTTCTGTATACTCCGGGAGTGAAGCTCTCGTAATCAGTGGCTGCCTCGGCCTTTTAGCGTCCCAGTTCTTGATCCCAATTCTCAATCAGGGTGATAGCTCGGGTTCGATGGATTGTCCACCTCAAGTCCACTCCAGGATTGTTGGCCTTCTTAGCCGCGGCAGTTACCTCGTTGTCAAAACGGTCTTTTCCAATTGCCATTTTTGTGGTTCCATCAGGCATTGCGGTTTTCACCGATGAAGAAAGAACCTCCACATCCGCAGTTGGACTTCCACCCTGCTCGTGGCCTGAGCAGCTCATCCCTGGCACCGCAGCATGATCTGTTTCCATATGTTTCTCAATGTTAAGATCGCTCCCTCTTACCGCAGAACTTTGTCTTAGATGATTCATGATTTTTTCGGTGTTCTCCTGTGGCGGAGGGAACTTTTCCTGCGGCGCCCAAAACCTCGTACGAGTTACGCACTGCTGTTACTGAAATGTTAAACCAAATAACTTGCTGATGAGAAATCTCATTTGCTCGCACTGCAAGCAACACAGGGACACTAGAAGTTTTGCTGCAATACAAGAAGATCGACTTATGACTTACCACTGCTGGGAGCGGGATTGTTGACTGATGAAATAGGAAGATCGTTTGTCACGACAGGTCTACCATCATGGAACATGCAAAACAAGTATCATCATCAGAAAAAAAAAAAGTGATCAGAGTTCACTTTCGGTTCTGTAAACTTCACATAATTGCGGCGCCAAGGCCACAGAAATGAAAAGTGGGAACTAAATTGATGGTTTAGAGTCTCCAGACGCGTCGTTAAATGATCAAAGATGACTGCTCTCTAGTTTATGTGCCCACCGCTACTCAATTATCCTCCCAACAGAAGAAAGAGAACGCACCTGAACCACGTTGTTCTTGGTTATGTTAAGATAGCATGCCGAGCGTGAGGGAGAAACACAGCAACCTGATAAAAAGCATTGAACTCAAGCTTAGAGAAAATTTCGCGAGGTTGGCATTTCGACCTACACCCCAAAGGCCCGTTTCGCGTTTCTAGATTTTACAGGTCGTTATATTCATAATCCCAATCTGCTAGATTTCAGGAAAACAAATAACAAAAAACAAGTAACAAAATTGCACCAACAATATATGGCTCTCTCCCGAAGTCTCCCTCAGAAAGCACTGTGTGGTGGATGCTGGCAGCCGTTTCCTGAACCATGTCAGGATCTTTGCCAACCAAAAGATTGACGCGAGATCCTTAATTATAGAAAGAGAGAGAGAGAGAGAGGAGAGAGATATTGAGAGGAGAGAGAGAGAGAGAGAGAGAGATCATAATTTATCAATGTCCACCATGTCCATTAAAGAGATAACATAGAGAAGTCACCAAGACCATTTGGGGTGCAAGATTTGATCACAGCAACAACCTAATTAACCAGAAAATCACATGAGTTTTCAAACATTATAATATTTTATTATGATGATATACAAAAATAAAAAGTAGATTAACAGATAAAAAGGGGGTTTCTTTCCAGTGTTTTCTCAGCAACCAAACAGATAAACTGGGTTTTTCTTTCCAGTGTTTTCTCACCAGCCAAACAGATTTTGGGAAGGATTTGAATTTATCAAATTTCTAGAATAATAACAGAAATGGAAATACCTGAGCTACTCTGTGAGTGTTAACCCCCATCCTGATGGAACCCAGCGGCGTCGGATAGTCGGCGCCTTGCTTTGCAACATAATCGAGAGCGGAAAGCCATGGATCGGCGGCGAAATCGGTGTCTTTAGCATCACCATTCTCGACGACTCTCCTAACGAACTCTTGGGTCGGAATGGGCTCGACGTTCTGGTCGTCTCCGTGGCGGTGAATTTGGGTCCTGCGCTGCATCGCGGCCTGTACGGCTCCGGCGGGGCCCGGAATGAGAGGCGGAGAGGCGGAAGAGGACGAGGAGGGGTTGGGCGGAGGCGGAGGATTAATTGATTTGAGGGAATGGGAGGCGGAGCGCTTGCAAGGGCGGAGACTGAGAGAGATGAGGTCCGAATCGTCGACGTCTAGTTGCTCCCAGGGTTCATCGCTGCCGTCGTCGTCCATGTTCTTCTGGTTTTGCGACTGAAAGCGCGGGAATCTGACACAGTTGAACGGCAGGATTTTTCGAGGTTTTCATTTTGGGCTGGGCTGGATATCTTATTAAGATGATTGGGCTCACAATCTCATTTTCTTTTGGGCCTTTCACTTGTCGTTATTTTTTGGTCCGATACCACCTGTAAATTTTTTTTCTCTAAAAATTAGATCAGCTGGTGACGAAGGCATGACAGTTATATTTTTTGGAACTCGGAAAGACTCACAAAGCCATTCTACGTGTAATTCATTTTTATCGTTTTTATTTCATATACAAAATGATATTGAGGGTTTGGGTTTTGCTTTAAGTCAATCATAATTATCGAAACTGTAACATCATAATAGTCAAATTTGAGAATTTTTCACTAACAAGTGTAAAGAAATACTACTAGATTGTAGTAATGTTGGTGACAAATCATTTATAATGTTTGGCTTTAAAAAAAAAAAAACCGCTTCAAACTCTTCTCTTGATTCTTTAACGTGAGAACGACGCAAATCAACTTTCCAGTCAAAATCAAAATCAGCTAGAACTAAACTGCCAATTGTCAATGTGTTTAATCTAGTTTACGTTTTTTTGTGGCTCAATTAATTTGTATATATTTTATGCCTTACGGGAAATTAGGACCACCACATGATCGAGGGGTTACGTACAAGGAGATAAGATTTCTGATTTGATTAGCATGTCTCAATTGGTAGGGAAAGTGCAGAAATACAGTGAGGGACCGGAACGTGAGTAGCTCGATGTCACAATCACATACTACTTACAACGGGACCGCCAAAATGTGTGTACAAGAATACAAAGGGACCGCCAAAATCACGGACAATCTAAAAGGTGAGATCGTAGAAACGTGATATGTATGTTCCAGTTAGACGATCAATCTAGTTAGGGAAGAGCACTTGAAACCGAAAATCGAAACACGAATCAAATCGGATTGCACTGAACGGTTCGGTTTTTGCAATTTTGAAACGGTTTTGATTTGAAACCGAACCACAGTGTAGGAAAACGATTTGGTTTCGGTTTTGGACTTCTAAAACCGCACCAAAACCAAACCACAACCCAAAAATAAGCACAATAACTGAATTCAAGACTTAATCTGTTGCAATTCTTTAACTCACCACCTAGGTCCACCAAATTAAATAGAACCGGGCAATCTGCAATACTCCTGACCATGGTAATTGCAGACCATACTTTCTGGTATTCATATCTTGAAGCTTTCATACTTTCTGCAATACAAATGTTAGGGCAACTCCTCTGCGTACTTTCAGTGATGAACTTGAATATAATCTTTTATTCCTTGGTACAACATTTGAGCATGAATTGAAAGCATTGTGATTATGAATGTGGAAGAACTTGTTGTATTTGTATAGTAGGAAGTGCATGCTTTCATGTAATGCTAGTTTGTTTTGTGTATTCTTGAAGCTGCAATTTGATGTCCAGAACCTTTTTTTTTTTCATTTTGTATGTCAATAGTGTAAAAATGAACCGAAACCATTTGAAACCACGTCGAATCAAAACCAAACGGTTCAGTTCCATTTCGATTTTGACTTCAAACCGTACCAGACCAAATCGTGCCCACCCCTAAATCTAGTTAGCAATATTTTCCTTGTGAGATTCATCTCTCTCACCTTGTCATCGGGGACGAAGCTAGAAAGTTAGTTTATGGGGCTACAATTAAGTAGCAGCAGATGCAAAATTCTATTCTTGCTGCATCCCAATAATAGTGGGCACAACACCTAAATTTTTTTTCTTCAACTTTTACTGTGAGGCATTTCGTCGAGCACTTGACTGACCCTTACCATTGTGTTCTTGGCGTACATCCAGCCTTTTAATGTTCTTTTAATTTGGTATTTAGGTCAATAAAACTAAGAATTGAATCATATATTGTTATAAATATACAAAAGTTAGATAAATAACCTTTGCTAGGGACATGAGCGAAACGGATGCAAAATATCGTATTATAACTTTAGTAGCTATAGCACAAAAGAATGACAGATAAAGAGAGGGAGGGAGATATACTGATATTATTTATTTGATTCTTTCTTTCGCATTGTGTATTTGATAACACACAGAGTGCTCTATTTACAGAGCAACTCCTGTCACAACCAACCAAACAAAAATGATTACATTTTGAAAGTATCACACAACCACTATTCCCAATTCTTCATTACTTTAAGTGGGCATTCATTCATCCAATAATTCTACAACATATATGAATATATAGGGTCGAGAATTCCACTTTATAGGACAATTGGGAGGAAAGAAATTAATGGACCAATCAAATAATAAATTTATGCTTGAAAAATGTCGATGTTGTTTAGCTTTTGTCAAACTCTTCTACACGAGGGAGACAAATTGAGGAAGCGATATGATATTTTAAGGGTAGTTTTTCAAATTGATTTTCAGTCAGGTGCCTCCCCACTTGGACTAACCAATAACTTCATTTTATTACAACTTTGATATCGACTGATCGATTAATCGATTCATTTGACCAAAATTGCTTCTTACGACCATCTTCTTTGTGATTGGAACAAGCTTCTCATTGGAATAATTATCAAGGATTCAACCTCACTGCCTTCGCATATTTATACAAATATTAAACAGGAACAAAACCTATTATAGTTTTTTTATATTTTTGGAACAAACGATATTATTTACACAGATTTCACTAAAAGGGAGAGAACCTGTTACAGTTTTAACTACTCGTAAATGTATTTCACTTTTACAACTACTTGTAATTGTGTTTTATTTTACAACTACTACTTGTAACTATAAATGTCTGTTTGATGGGTTGGATGAAATGGAGTCTTAGGAATAGGATTGGGTTGGCTGGAATTGGTTAGACTTCGTAAACATAACTTATAACCCGTGTGTATGGATAACTTAGTAACTCATTCTATTATAGATTTATAACTCATCATCTCCAGTCATATCCATCTCATATTTTGACACAACAAATAATAAACTGAATTCAAGTCAATTTTAATTGGTCACAACCTTATGTTCTTAGCACCCAAGAGAATGATTTCGATCCATTTGGTACCAACTACCAAGAATATCTTCACACGAGGTTACTACTAAATTCAAATTTACTTACTTCAACTTATATGTAAGCATATTAATTTTATCGTTTGATTAATACATAAAATGATAATATTATGTGACGTATTTTTAATACACATATTTCTCCAATCAAGGGAAGACGAGACCGGTAAGCCGCCACTACGACGACAACGACGGCAACGATGAGAGACCATGATATGTGTTCCAATAAGTTGTTAGTTGTTAGTTTAAGACAGAGACACAGCGTCATTTGCGGCCTTCACATATTTGCATGTCAACCTCCACAAGTTGCCCACAATTAAATCCCATCCATTGATCCACAAACTGACAACCGGATCTCCCGGTCACCTCCTCCTCCATGCCGAAACGGTAAAAATCTTTTAACCTTCCCATCTCCTGTTCCCCTTACAGTCCCAAAATTTACCTCGTTTCAATTTTACATTTACCCCTCTTGTGGTCGGTGGCTGTTCATTTCTCTCCCTTCCCTCACAAAAACAGAGGAAAAAGAATATTCAGCCTAACTTCTCAAAAGGAAGAAAACAAAACCAAATACCAAGAAAAACCTTCATAGTACCAACTTGGTAGGGCCCTATTCCCATTTTTTCCCTCCGTATCATGTCGTATTAGTCTGGCTTCACAGTAATGTCTCGTGTTATAATTGTCGATCGATCTATCGTTGATACAGTACTGATAATTTATCATCAGAATATGTTTTAAACAAATCGTCATTTCATTTTCAAGTAGGGTTTCTTTCTTTATGTTTGTTCTGTCTGTATTAATCTTAACTATGACAGACGTTCGTTGTTTCTTACATGCATGGCATAGACGTGTGTTGATAATAGTTTCAATATTTGGTACCCATTGTCATTACATTTTCGATTAGGGTTTCTTTCATTGCGTTTATCTTGTTTGTATTAATCCCAACTATGAAACAACCGTTCTTTCTTACACGTATGTCGTATAAATACTTTCAATAATTGTTGTTATATTGTCTGCATTTGGTCAATTTTATCGTCCTGTTTTAAATTTTATTTCTTATTTTTAAAAATTGTTTTGATTAATTTTGAAGGGAAACTAATGAAAAGGGTTTGAAAACTATGAGTTTTAACAAAAATGACAAAAATATGTTGTAAATAAATAGTATCAAGATTGATCTTTTAGAATGACACGGTGATTTTTCCGTTAAAGTTCCTTAATTTTTACTGGGGTTGGTAGGTGATAACGAATAATCGAGAATTGTTGGTGGCTAGTATAAAGAGGGAGGGAGATCATAAGACATGATGACAGACTCACCAAAGACACCGGCGAAAGGCAGTTGCAAGTCACTCATGGAGAATTTGCTCGGTCTTCTCCGAATCCGCGTCAAACGCGGTGTTAATCTCGCCGTCCGCGACGTCCGTAGCAGCGATCCCTACGTCGTGATCAAGATGGGTAAACAGGTAATCTCCCCCTCCTCCTCCTCCTCCTCCTCCTCCTCCATTTCTTCATCTTTTAGTTTACTGTTTTTCTCTCTGTTTTTTAATCTGACTTTTTTTATGAATTTCTCTGCTAAATTCCTGTCAATTTTGTTAATTTCTTTCATGGGGTGTTTTAATTTTGCATCATGAAAATAACTTTATTAAAAATTCTCTTTTTCTTTCATTTGTAATTGTTTCATTTGGCTTGTAATCTAGTATTTTCATTGTATGAAACTCCCTACGTGTAAGTTTATCTTACGCTGCGAGTTCCAAGCATGAACACAGGAGGAGGAGAGGGAGCGCGTCAGGTAGTCAACGGCTGGCCCTTTGTATTTCACGTCGAATCTCTATGATTTGTAGATCTTTAAATCTTCTCACAATATTTCTGTAGTGCAATTACCAAATTTTTTTTTTTTTACTCTAATGCTTTAGACTGATCTGATTTGTGCTTTGCTGCGCTTCACAAAGGCTCTGTTTTTTTTTTTAGCCTCTATTACTTTTGTTGAATAAGAAATTCAGGAATATGTTCTCTTTATCTTTATATATTTAAAGATTAAACCTCTTTTTGATGCAGAAACTGAAGACTCGTGTAATTA